AATACTACAGAGTTTCCGCCAAAGACGTCAACTTCAAAATTGGGTTATGCGTTGCTTTGATCCTGGAGATAGTGAGCAAATGATTGGCTTGTTCCGAGCTTAGGTGGCGCTGATGTGCTTATTGCAAGGGTCGCCAAAGCGGACAATTGCGTAATAATAGCATGGAAAGTAAACCTGACTTCCGCTGAGCGAAAACTAATCCGAACTGAGATGTATTGGAAGTGTGGAGTATCGTGATTGTGCATGTTAGGTGTTCATGGTGCCAAGATTGAGTAGATGTTTGGGTGTTAGATCTATATGTGATGGTCGAGGATAGTAATCAGTTTTAGGTAGGCCATCATCTGATAATTATTCTAGCTCCAATGTCGCTATCCCTTACACCCTCCTAAACTCGAACTACCATGGCCATACAAAGTTTCAATACAATCCATACTCAGAAACTAACTTATTTTTGCTGGTCAGCAAACTTATGGCTATTATGCCTAATACGAAACCTTACACAAACCTAAATCTCTCTCTCTAGAGAGAGAGACACGAGAATAGAGGGTGTAAGGGATTGCTCCATTGGAACTTGCATGATTGTCAGATGATGACGAAACTAACACCCATTGATAGCCAAGAACATCCCCGTGTCTGACATTTCTAGACCTAGCACCCACGTAACCACTTATTCCTGGCACCAAGAACACTTAACACGTACCAACACGACACTCCACAGTCCCAGCACATACCAGTCTGAATCAGCTTTCGTCCAGCATTATGCGACCCTGCTATCTGTCGCCAGGAACAGAGCAAGAGACAATAGGGAATCCAGTTCCCCGAGCTCAAGCAGCTAAATTGTACTACCACATTGAAGAACCAATAATCCTTCAGCTATCTTATTGTGAACACATTTAAAGTAGATAAAAGACGATGCCTACACGAACCATCCACACAACATTTGACATTCAGATACCAATTACTATAGCCATCCTACCATTCAAAGCCCTTTATTATACCACTCGAACTTCAGTAACTAAGTTTTGACTATTAACATTATTATGAATTAGGAATCTGAAAAGAAAAATATTCTTTAGAAATTTTGTTACAGAAAACGACTCATTTATATTTGCAAATTTATTACAACATAAAGGTCGAGATGAAACCCATTACTTTGCTGGTGCAAATCCACCGGGAGCCGTACATCTGAAAAATTCTTGCTTCATTTTCGATACAAAAATTCACAACCGTATAAAAGTATATATAAATTTTAATTTATATAAAATTTATATAACATTTTGCACTAACCAAATATATGTTGACTCTTAAACCAAGAAACTAACTGTGGCACATCGTGACGATAGCGAGCTAGCGACATAATTTCAAGTCGACTGTATTTCCTCAAACAAAAAAAAAGCTGCCACGACTAGTGGATGTTTTGTTAGAAATGGATTGTCTACATCTGTACGGAAATAGGATTTCAGATCACATTGACGATATTAGTTCCATTTCAAAGTGGCCAGCTGCAAAATACAACAAAACATTCGATCAGAATAAATGGAAAAAAGAAAATGAACTTTGCAAATAAAGAAAAATGACAGTATAATATACATATAATAAGAGTATAATAATATAAGAATAACATACCTTTTAAGATCTGAAGTCTCGTCCAATACAAGCATCAAGAAGTTAAGCTCAGGACCTCCGCTTGAAAAAATGACTTCAGTTGACACAGGCAGTAAACTTAGTATGTTAATCCCTGATTTCCTCTCACACCCTAGCTATTAAAACAATGGTTTTAGTTTGAGGTTCAACGATTTCTCACACAACACTGAGTGGAATTAAGTCCTAATTATAACTTGAAACATAAGACTGTTGTCTGGTGTGGTTTTAAAAACGATGGGGGTTGGGCAGCTCTTTTTGTCTTCACTTTCGGTATATCGAACTTCTTTTATTTGAACTGGTATATCACCTTCGCAATAGCCTATTACTGATAGTCGTAAAGTGGTTTGTGTTGAGTTTTTGTATAATTTTACACTCAAGGCTAAAAGTATGCCACATACAATGTACTTTACAGTAATTCATACATCACGTTGTCCATTCATACTGCGCCAGACACATTAAAAAGGGTTCCGAGATTTTTGACTAGATCAAACATTATTGGTACCACTTAAAACACAGTTTATATTCTTTGTCACGTCTAAAGGAATGCGAAATGATCAATTTTTTCCTTGGTAGGCTACTATGTATTCAGAAGTACTTCCAATCAGTACCTTTGATGTTTAATTTAGGTCAATTTGGGAATAGGGTCGCCTTTTTGGAGCGTCTTGCGGGCATAATGCAAAATTTGTCTGGCATTGGTTAGTCTGCATTTCTTAAGATGTGTCAAAGAAACAAAATATGTTTGAAGTGATACGTATAATTTTTTAGACCCTTTTTTGGTGCCTGCCATTGGTGAATATATCCAACTAATCTGCCAAATCTAATGAACTGTACTAAAGTTGCGTTGAATCTTTTATGCTCCAGAACGCCCGATGCCATTCTGCGACTGTGGTTCTCAAATCGCCAGAATTGTTAAGGGATGCTAACAGCACCAATGCACCCCTCCCCCAGTAACGCCATTAACCTAATATCGCACTATTTTTTCTTTGTTTAAATGGACATCTACGGATTAGCATAGTTTACTTCTAACACGCATGTGGAATCGATGATAAAGACCATGGTTCCATTGACGAAATAAACGAATTGTAAATGGAATTAACCGGAATAACAGCAGGTGTTGAGTTAACAATAACTAGGTAATAAAATTACTATACACAATAAAACAGACAATTACTTGCTGATTTTATAGCCTCTGATTAATCTATGAGCTTGTCTAACTAGCTAAATATACTTTGTTTCCTTTCCACAACAAACGTCTTTCCTCTTCTGAAGCAATCTGACTACCGAACAAATTTCCTCTCAGTTTTCGGTTTCACCGGAAATAAATTATATGTAGAAATATTCTTAATGATTTCATTTTCCACGAGGACATAACTTAATGAAATTGAATGTATCATTTTGAAGTTGGTCAATCCATTCTGAAGGGAAAGGGGGCGGAGTTCTCTGTAAATAAGGGCCTTTTATGCAATTTGACTCGAATGCCATTGACTCGAAGCAAATGATGACTTAATTTATAATTATACAACTCATCCCGTTGTTTTTGCAAGTTTCAAATGATTTATGAGAATTGCCAACAGAAAATGTTCACAGATCATAACTGTGCTCTAGAATATACATTCTAATTGACTACGTAACAAATATTGTTTTCCAGTTAGAAGTGAACAACCATTAATCTTGAGTTTAGGATATGTTATAGTGACTTCTTGCATCTCCCTCTTGCGTTCTTTAGACGTTAGCACTATTTGACATGTCAAGTTCAATTCTATTACAGTACTTTTCATGCTCTTCTGTCTGATCGTTCACTAATTATTTTTAACAGGTATAAGATTGATAAAACGACAACTGACATATCGGAAATGGTAATATGGTTAAAATAGAATTTAATCACAGAGCTAACCAAAATACTTACTTCAAAATCCATTAACGTTTTAACGTGCTTAACCGTATCCATCTTCAAGGATACTTCAGATCGGTCAGTTGCGAGAAATTGGAGACTCTCGCTCTTAGTTTCTGCCAATTGCAAGGTCAACTTAAAACACTTTAATTTGCCCGATTGCCTGAAGTGTAAAATCAAGAAAGCTATCTTGAAAGGAAGTATGTACCTGAAATGTGCACTTCGGAAGCTTGAACTGAGTTCCTGTCAGATTATCATTGAAATTGCTAAAGTACAGGACTAGCTCGTCAAATTCTTATTACCGAATATTATATACAAATGTAGTTGTAAAAGATGATCGATATGTAACCTAGATAAGATAAGCCGATTATCAAATTTCATTGAAATAAACATTTTAAAATACCTCTTCTTTCTATAAGGTAATATTCAGAAGAATGTAATTAAATCTGAACTTACTGTACATAAAACAAATGACTAAAACTCCACTATGTAAAACGGAGTCTATTTCAGCTCTATTTACATCGTGACATGTTATTTGCTGTGTCGTCAATAAGTTCCTGTACTGTACCTCGCTTGCGGAATACCCGACGCTAAGGACATTTTGAGTGATTCCGACGGAATATGGTATTGCATGATCTGCAATAAATGTACCAATATTGGGTTGTGGATTTCCAGAAAGGGATGCCAAGATGACAAATTAGTCGCAAATTTCTAGAAATGAAATGAATGGAGTTTTACGTCCTACTTTTCTGCACCATGTGGGCTAATGAAGACGGGTAGAGTTCCAGAAAAGCAAGCGAGACCTGACTCTATAGCAACAAATAGGAGCTCAAGATTTAATTTAGTAATTATTATTTTATATATATATATAGATATAGATATATCTTTTAAGATACACTCGATGTCAACAGTCTGACCTAGCGCGTAAGCCTATAAACCATATTTACTTCCTTCTAGGACTACCTTTGATCTATATTCCTTGACAGCTTGACTTTCTATCTTAAAGTACCATGGCCGGAAGCCTGGTAGATGACGTGTTCATTACTATTTGTCGCGTAGGAGTATTATTGTGCTTATTATTACTAGTTTGTTTACATTCTGATGCCGCAGGGTAGGTGTAGGAAATTTTCTGATTAAAGAGGAAGTAAGGTACAGGTATCGTTTCCTTGGGCTGTCTTAAACTGCTGACACGGTATGTGGGCACAACAGGGAAGAACACAATTTGGTGTGCTCATAATTTTGAAATATTTACGCATTTCGTGGCAATTTCTTTTGAAGGTAAATATCAACAAAACTAGGAAGTTCGCATTTTAGATCTTATACGATTTCGAAATCTGTAAAACAATCAATATTTTGTTGCAAGTTATGGATGATAACAGGAAGTTCTGCTTAAGGTGTATTCTTGATGATGCTGAAATGTGCTTACTCATGAAAATTAACAATTCTATCCAAGCTAACATTTTTCTCAATTTAAACTATACGTATCATTTTTCAGAAAGAAAATGAGATGTCTGGTTAGTTTGTATTCTGCCGGAAGTGATGAAAGCCCAATCAAGATAATGTATATACTTTTCCGTTGCCAGTTGCAGTTTAACTCTAGGTTTGGTCTACCTTTATTTACAAGCCATTTATTTACCATTGGTTTTGGTTTAGTTTTATTTACCACAAGCCATAGGTTTACCATCGGTTTTGGTCTATTTTTATTTACCTCAAGCCATCGGTTTACCAATGGTTTTGGTCTACATTTATTTACCACAAGTCATTTATTAACCATTGGTTTTGGTCTACATTTATTTACCACAAGTCATTTGTTAACCATTGGTTTTGGTCTACATTTATTTACCACAAGTCATTTGTTAACCATTGGTTTTGGTCTACATTTATTTACCACAAGTCATTTGTTAACATTGGTTTTGGTCTACATTTATTTACCACAAGTCATTTGTTAACCATTGGTTTTGGTCTACATTTATTTACCACAAGTCATTTGTTAACCATTGGTTTTGGTCTACATTTATTTACCACAAGTCATTTGTTAACCATTGGTTTTGGTCTACATTTATTTACCACAAGTCATTTGTTAACCATTGGTTTTGGTCTACATTTATTTACCACAAGTCATTTGTTAACATTGGTTTTGGTCTACATTTATTTACCACAAGTCATTTGTTAACCATTGGTTTTGGTCTACATTTATTTACCACAAGTCATTTGTTAACCATTGGTTTTGGTCTATATTTATTTACCACAAGTCATTTGTTAACCATTTGTTTTGGTCTATTTTCATTTACCACAAGACATTGGCTTACTATTAGTTTTAGTTTATTTTCATTTACCACAAGACATCGGTTTACCATTGATTTTGGTCAATATTTATTTTCCACAAGCTATTGGTATACCAATGGTTTTAGTTTATCTTTATTTACCACAAGCTATTTGTTTACCATTGGTGGTGGATTATTTCTAATCACCACAAGCCATCAGTTGACCTCTGATTTTGGTTTATTTCTGTTTACCACAAGCCATCGGTTGACCTTTGATTTTGGTGTATTTTTATTTACCATAAGCCAAAGATTTAACATTGGTTTTGATTTATTTTTATTTACCATAAGCCATAGATTTACCATTGGTTTTGGAATATCTTTATTTACCACAAACGACCAGGTACAAATTGACATCTGAAAAAAATGTCACACGTCATCTTGATTTATCGAAGTTCGAGTGAAATGTCAAGTTAACTCAGACACCTTATCAAATCAAGAAAAAATTAAGTTTTGAATAATGGGAGAAATGGATGACAATATCTTGAACTTAACGTCCTACGTCCTCTTCCGATGGGTTATTAAATAATTTGAATTAGTTACATTATGAAACCATACATTACATTATGTATAGAATTATCAATTGGCAAGGTTGGCAATTGTTCATAAATGGAGAAATTTAAAAAAAACAAGAACATATGTCCTTTGTAACAACATGTTACAAATCCCGAGACGGGTGGGCGAGAAGTCGGTGTTGTTTCTTCCATGATATATGGTTGACTTTGGTATTAAAACAATACAATGGCAGAAATGACATATTTATTAAAATGACCCTTTGTCGTTACATAGTAACATAAAAATAACATAACAGAGAAAGTTGAAATTTAGCGGTAACATTTAAATGTTACGAAAATCGATTTCGGGGAAGAGTAGGTTTTAGTCTCTCAAATGTAAGGACTTTTGAATAAATCATCTTTGAGTTTGTTTTATGTTCTTACTAGACTAGGTCATTCAGACTAGGCCTTTATACGTCATGTTGCAAATAAAATAACATACGAAAAAAACTTAAATCCTTGTATAACATCTATAGATTATTGAAATAGCATTCTGAACAAACACGGCGCAAATTAATTCTGTCCTTTTTTTATCGGAAGAAATTCGGATATCTTAAATCCACGATTAAAATTATATGGTTTCTGGCTGTTCCCATTTTTTATGTTACGATAAGGCGCTTATTTTCTGTTTTAATATATGTTTTTCTCCTTATCCACAGTCAGATAAACCAAATAACCATGTAGTTTCTAATCTTCTAAATTCTTCCATTTTCAACAAATCTGTCTCAACATTCTGGTCTTATTAAGACATATTTCAATATTAGTATCAACTTTTACTGACGATACCTGCAAATCAAACTAATTTTGTAAAATAGATTGATTGTTGTGAAAAATTGTACTTAGATTTATGTAATTATAACTTGTCAAATAGAACAGAGGCCATATCGGTTGAAAGTAGGTTTGTCTGCAATCTAAAATGGAGTTAGCGAGTGTATTGTGCTTTCAGCGATGCCTAGCACGGGAGGATCTTGATTACACGAATCTATATAGAATGAGTTTAGGTAGCAAATGCACAAGAGTGTTGGTATAAAATTTCCAGATCGACCAACCGGAATTGAATCAGAATCACTAAAATGGAACGAAACTAGCTTTATTTTTATTCAAAAAAAAATCCCTTTAACATTGACGTCACCAAATTTTTCACAAAATGTTATACTTTCGTTTGGTTGTTTGAAATAAAAGTATTTCATAATATTAGTGAAGCTCATCTTTGAGCCGTATGTTACTTCCGGTTGGTGTTTTTTTTTGGTTAGGAATTTATACCAACCCGATTAGACTATTGGGTCACATTGAAATCTAGACAGAATGCATTAAGCATTTAGCCACTGTATTTTTTTTTTAACTCCACTATAAATTCCTGTATAAATGATAAGAAACACCTGATGCCACTGAGCAAATTTGGCATTCCTTTGGTTTGGTAGATATGTTTTAAAGTATTATTTCAGACCTGTACAAGGTTTTACCGAATACTGACAGATTCCACTACAGTGCCATTCTTCTTTTATTCTCTGGAAAGCAGCATTGTTTAACAAAGCAGCAGTTATCAAAACTAAGGATCTTGGAAGAGATTGAAATTTTGTACTTTTGTACAGTGTTCTTGCTATCTGTATAGATTAATCTTTCTGTTAACGCTTGATTTACATAGTGAAGCTGAATTTGCAGGAACCTCGACAAACTAGACAGATAATCATTATACAACTCGGAAGTTATTGTTCCCACACTATATAGGCCCAGATAGAGACAGACAAATACGAAAGGTTAGAAGACAATTTTCAATCCCCTCTTTATTTCCAAGGACGCAAATTCTGACAGCTGTAAGCCTATTCATCAAATATATTAGCTTATAGAGAATGTAAACGTATTAATTAAGAATATAATAAATGGTAAACAGCATAAAGCCATAAAGACACCTTATTGCTGTTAATTTAGACTCAGATATAAAATACGAGAGCCAGACAGTTCATATATACCAATCATTTTTATTACTGACATATCATTTACGGGTCAGAAGTTTTCGCTGTGTAGAGGAATTTTATAGCAATTGTGGTCTTAATTAATCCCTTGTCTAATGTTTATCACGAGTGTAAACAGACCAAGGTTTACCAAAGTTAACAAAATAAACACAGCAAAGTGTAAAGCGTGTAATAAATACCGTCATGTTACAGCTATTCCTAAAAAAATAACCTGTTTTGTTAGCGCAAGATAATATAATTCAGTTCATCACCACTGCAAGAAGTGTACTGAGCATTGGTGCATTGTAGATTGTGCCCAGGTCCATATCCGTAAGAAGGGCAAATGGTATAACGAAAAGGTCAATAGTGTATGATGTTTAGCTGCAGTAATTGAACTGGTCGTGTGGCAGCTAGGGGCCTGATGCCTACCACTTTAAAAAAAAATGAAGCCAAGTCCTAAGTAGTTGATGATTAAAACAATGATGAATTATCACTAATATCTATAGGAATCATGTATCTTGTTTGATAGTAATTGATGAAATTCTGTTCAACATTGTAGCCTTAAAAGATATGGTTCATAACAATGTCGACTCTTCACTTAAATTCTCGGTGAAATGCTGAAAATTAGTGATAAACGTCTGAACATCACCAACATCACCAACACCAATACAGATCACCATATTAAGTACTCAAACATATTTCCCAATTATCATTGGGTATTAACAAAGGTGGTACCCTGCACAATCAGACAATAACAATTAAACATGGCAAAACAACCCACGGAACTTGAGCTATTTTCTCTCGTATTTTATCACTCGTGAACCACTTAAAATATTTCTACATTTCTACATGTCTCCTTGTCCTACACAAAACGCTATACATGTATATCTGAGTGTATTAATGATTTTATAAATTAAAACAAATTCAGGAATAATTTCAAGACCTGTGTCAGTATATATAGCTGTATACATATATGATCGTTAAAATGTTTTATTACCTCCTTGTTGGAATGAAATTACTTACAATTGCCTTACTAATGTCCAATTTGCACATGAAAAATAACTATAGTGCTCTTAACACACCTTAATCTAATTAAAATTATATTTTAATTTCGCTATTATTTTTTTATCCACTGTAATCTCATTGTACTACCAATGCCAGCGTGTCATATAGAACCGGCTTTGGAAATTTTATTGGTCCAGGCATTTGTACTTATAAATGATATATTTTTGTGTATAATATTGATTAAAAAGTATATCTGTTATTTCCAGACATTTGTACTTTAAGAGATGCTTTAGACACAATAGGACCACACGTGAAGCACAAAGGATATCCGACATTCATTTCAAAATAGTAATGTAATGTTCATTGATGGACGTGGAACCATCCCAATTAAAACTCTGACGGCATTGTCATGATTCATAGTAATTGTTAAAAATTATATCTTTCGTCATTCGTATAGTTCAAATAATGACAGCTATAAATGTAGACTTTGATCGCTTCTTAATTACCTTTGTTAGTATCCGAATCGATCTAAATACGGATCACGATCTATAAAGACATTCAATGCAGAAAACCCTTGAAGACTATCTGCAGGAAATGAGTCGGTTTCCACTAAAAGCGAGAGACAATATTATCAAGCAGGTTAACTTTGTGATGTCCTAAATTAGAACTAAAAATCAAGGATCAGTCAAAAAGTATTATTTTATTACTGAATCCACTGGCTGAATATATCGCAATGCAAATATATATATCAATAGAAAGCGAGGGTGTTCTTCTCATTAGTTCATAATTAACTTGTAAGTAGCTATGAAGTAAAGATTCCAATGATCGGTCAGTGACTTGATAAATATTTCCATGGGGAAACTAAGCGTCTTTTTACGGCCGATCACTGATCAGACAGCCAAAGAACAGTTGACAAGTTTA